AAAATGGCGTCTTCTTTCTTTCTTTAATACGGAGATTCTGACCGGATCCCCTTTCCTCCGATGCGCTCAGTTCCGCGATGTGTACGATATACGAAGCGTTCGAGGGTCTCCACGTGTATTATTATCATCATCATCATCATCATCATCTTCTTCTTCTTCTTCTTCTTCTTCTTCCTCCTCCTCNTCAGTAATTCGATCTCACTTGTGATTTGATGTACTTCATGCGACTAAAAAGCTGTTCACACGCATAAGTGTTTCCACATAGCGAAACCATCGACAGAGCATATTTGTAAAACTCAGGATATTTATCCTTGTCCAAATACGTTTCACAGAACTCTTCCAAACCAACTTGACGAAATTTCTCCAACGTTTCAGGGTTTACTTACTTATAGAATCGATATGGTAGACAGGCTACTTGGTTAAAGTAGTTTGAACTGTAATTATAAAATATGCTAAATATGTATTTTAACGTCGATTGCAAAATCTCTCCAGATGCATTGGCGATAATAAAACGAAACTACAGAATAACACGGAACTTTGTCAAGCTGGACTGAAAGTAGTTATGAGTATGAGCCCGATAGCATTGTGAGCTTCCCGAAAACGCCGAAGACCACAGAACATATATAGCTGAGGTCTCATATTAAATTTTATCAACACCTAGCGTCGGACAAAAAACTAAGTAACCTTGAGTGTCAAATAGCGGGATATTTGAAATAGCTAAAAATCTATGAATTTTTCCAAAATAAGAGATATTTCAAATTTCTGTTAGCTATAATTTAAAAATACATGATAGGAATAACTCATGACGTAATGTTCTTTTGGTGATATGTACAATAAAGTTAACATTTACGTTCATTTGCCCTAGCTCCACGGGCCGCAACATGACTCCAGGCGGGCCGCATGCGGCCCGCGGGCCTCGTGTTGGCCACCCCTGATCTAGAATCACTTGTAGTATTCTTGATAGAGGCTGACAGGATGCAGGATGCAACTCTTTGCTCTAGAGCAGAGGTCTCTAACTCGTGCTCTACAGCACGGGTTGGACACCCTGCTCTAGAGCAAAGAGTTGGTATGTGGCCCAAGGCAAGTTCCAATGCAACCCAATAAACGTGTAAACAAAACCGAAAAATGTTTTAATTTTTTTATTATCTATTTATTTCAACAGCATAAACTCAAAAAAGTTTCAAAGCCATAAACCTTTATTCGTATTTTATTTTTGAGTGGAAAGGAAATATTTTCAAATATATAAGCTCAACTGCACATCGGGTTGTATGCAATAAAATAAATCTGACTTACAGAACCTGTAACCGATGCGTATCACTTTTTATTTCTAAAAACCAAACGTTTTCATAACCCCTTCTGGGTTCTTCATCAGGATAACAGCTGGATCGAATAGCAAACAACGAATTCAAGAAGTTTGAATAAATCTGAACTTCTTAGAGTTTGAATCGTTCCATTCGCTTAATCAGTCACGTGATATGATTGACTGTTCTAATTCGACTTTCGATGTTCAAATTTAAGAGAAAGATCCACAATGGACGCACCGGATGCCCCAAAATTATTTGCATTTGCTAAAACACATAAGGAAGGGAAACAGCTACGCCCAGTAATGGATAGGGCCAAAGAGCCCACACGAAAGCTAGAGGAAGAGGTACACAACATTCTTACTCCACACCTTCAGGGATACCAATTCTCCATCTCCAACATGTTAGATTTAATAGAACAACTCAAGATGGTCACCTCTCCGTGTTATGCTACAATATTGGATTTTAGATCCTTATACCCGTCGATTGAACTTCCTCCATGTTTCTGCACCCTAAGGGACTTTTTGTTTAAAAAATTGGGCTCTAATGAGCTACAACATCAGGCACTAGAATTGGCCCATTTAATTTGTTATAACTCGGTGTTTCAATTTAAAGGAAAGTTGTATGCACAAACAAGAGGTGTTCCCATGGGTGGTTCAGTATCCGGGGATTTATGTGAACTAGTTATTAGGCAATTGGAAAACAGGACATTGCCTAAGTTCCTCCACGACATTATACTATACAAAAGATATGTCGACGACATCATCATCTTATGGAGGACAACTCCCAATTTAACCTGTTTTTTAGACGAAATGAATGACAACCCATATGGACTGACATTAGAGATGGAACAACACAGTAACACCAGAGTACATTTCCTGGATTTAGACATAAGATTTGATGATTCCATCATCCGTACATCAGTATTTCGCAAACCTACTAATGTATCGGCATACATACCAGTAAGCTCATGTGATCCCTTCCAGTACAAAATGGCTGCTTTCAGGGCATTGGTCAAACGAGCTTACACACACTCTTCCACACAAAAAGCTCTAACGGAGGAGTTAAAATACTTGAAAAGTATCGCCAGATCACACGGGTACTGAAATATTATATAAAAGATCGCAGAGCGACACAAACAAACACAGGCTTCTTCCAACAGTGTAATGAACACGCAAAACACAAGCAATAATACAAAAAATATGAGGATACCCATTAAGTTTAACCCTCTATTGAAGTCCCTGTACACCACCATTGCTAAATGACGTAATGTTAACATAGCATACAGAAGATGCAGCACCTTATTTGATATCCTACGTAATGAAAAAGACGGATCCAGGACGGAGAGGCTATCAGGCGTATATAAAATTCCTATAAAGGATAACAGGTTCAACAGGGATATGGTATACGTGGGATCAACTAAATGCTCGTTAGAGGTTAGATTAAAAGAGCATATTTCGGATATACAGCACAACAGGCACACAACCTCACTCTCCACCTATGCCACTGATCCCGATATTGTGACGGACTTCAATGCAGCATGGATAATTGCCTCCACACCACATATTCATCAACTAAAATGGCTAGAAGAGATGGAAATTTTTAGGGCGTATGACAAATCCGAGTGTATTAATTCAAGAGAAGAGATCACCCTTTCCATGGCGTGGCAACACCTACTCCATAAAGAGTGATAACGAAATTATATTAAGCCTTAAAAATAAATGATATTAGGGAACACGAGAATATTAAATAATCTTTATATCTCAATAACTCGTTGTGGATCTTTCTCTTAAATTTGAACATCGAAAGTCGAATTAGAACAGTCAATCATATCACGTGACTGATTAAGCGAATGGAACGATTCAAACTCTAAGAAGTTCAGATTTATTCAAACTTTTTGAATTCGTTTTTTGCTATTCGATCCAGCTGTTATCCTGATGAAGAACCCAGAAGGGGTTATGAAAACGTTTGGTTTTTCGAAAGAAAAAGTGATACGCATCGGTTACAGGTTCTGTAAGTCAGATTTATTTTATTTTCAAATACTTGGAGATGTGTGAATGAGGAAGGATTACTAAATAAAGCTGGAGTTGTGACTCATGATTATAGACCCAAATTTAAAGAAAGGAGGGAAAGAAGAGAAAGGCCAAACGATAAAAAGTAGTGAGAAAGGTTAAATAGATCTTCTGTTACGCAAATATTGATTCTTAATTTTCCAACCTTTCTCACTTCTTTATCTTTTGTCCTTTCTCTTTTTTTCCTCACATTTGGGTCTATAATCCTTTGAGTCACAACTCCAGCTTTATTTATTATTCCTTCCAGTGTTGCAAGATTTCGCTACATTGCACCAAATGTGGCTACTTTTTTAGTTTGATGTAAAAAATATCATTTGGAGCTTTGGCTACTTTTTGGGCTACACATTATTCATAAATATATTAGTTGAATAAAAATTCACTTTAAAATAGTGTTTTGTTGCTTTTTATTAATTAAAGACCCAAATAAAACAAATATTTGTGTTTTTCAAATAAATTTTCGTTCGTCTCTTTATAATAAATTAATTTATATATTTCTAAGTAGAAATTGAAAGTTCCGTAGAAGTAATTTTCTAAAATATCCTTTTTCATGATAAAGTTTTAATACTTATTATTATAATCTAGACATGTTAGTCCTTAAATATACTTGTATGTTGGGCCACAAGTATATATTATATATACTTGTGGCCCAAAACTCCTTGACTTCTTCCAATGTGGCCCAGAGAAACAAAAAGGTTGGACACCCCTGCTCTAGAGCATCTGGCCATTCTTTATGATGGATGTCTTCATTATCAAGAAAGTACAAAGACAAGGTTTTGAAACCCCACGCAAGACTTTTCCATTGCTGTGGGTGCAAATTTCTTTTTCTTAGACCATAGACAATACTGTTTTTACACATAGGACTCACCTATCAATAAATAAGCTGTTTCATCTCACTTGTACCTACTTATTGAATGCCATCTTTGTCATTCTTGCTTTCTTACAATTTTCCTTATGTTCTCTAAGTGTCTCTGAGACCCTCCTTGATGCTCCTACATAAAACATCCTCTTTTCTGATCTTTCTTCCACTGGTATCATATAAACTACCATTTTCTAATTTTGTTTGTAATGGAATTTCTCTTCAGTATTATTTTAAATTCAAAGGATAATGTTATGAGCAAAAAAAAGAAGTATCTATAGGCTGACAGTCAGAAAGATAGAAACAAAAATACTAGAAGAATTTGAGAGTGAGTTTTATACATAATATATAGATAACATCTTAGTAATTTAGAAAAGATTTTCCAGTGCTTACTTTTAGCAGATAAATAACTCTACAGTCCTAATATAGTATGGGTGGAAAAGTAAGGCAATGTCTGCATTGTTACCAGCTCTGATTTTAAAATTATTTGTTTTTAATCAGATATTTTTTCATTACAGATAACATACCTTTTTCCACTTCCAGAAATGAAAAATTTATTATAACAAATCGATAATAAATTTTTCATTAGGGAAGTGTGAGAAAGGTGTTATTTGTAACTGGTAAAGATGTATTTCCTGAAAAGTAGAAGTGAATAAATGGTAATTGCTTTTCTGATATAATTAATTTCAAATTAAATTTGAAGACAAAATCGAATTATTTAAGCAAATTGTAAAATAAAAAAGTTTTAATATTTAAAATAAACATTCATACTTCAAGCGTTCTTTAGCTGAGTTTGCCCGCGATACAACATCATCATCAGAAGACTTTGTAAAGTTATTTAGATCATTTCCACTACAATAATAATCACCATTACCTGCAAGAAAAATAAAATAATTAAAATATCAAGACAAATAAAATTTTTGAAATCAGAACCTACTTTCTAATTACTCTGTTAATATGCTACTACAGTAGAGCATCATTTATCTGAAAGCCAGTTAACCAAAAGCATTCCATTCGGCAAATTTAAATTTTCACTAGTGCTGTGGCGCTGCAATCTTTGCACTGAGCTACTCCAATATTTTTTTTTGTTGGTGTCTGTGTTTTAGCTGGCACTTTTGTGTGGTGTTTTTCTGAGGACTGTGTGTTGTGCTGAATCAAATGTTTTTGATACTAGATCAACTTCTAAAGTATATTTTTTTTGGTTTTTATACTTTTCAATATATTTATTTTGTTTGTAAAAAATAAATAATTTTTAACGATACAATAGCCACGATGATTATTTTAAAAAGTTTACGTTAGGCTTAACATTGATGAAAATTCAACGTGAAGCGACACGCAACGGAGAAAAATTTCAACATGGGATAGGTTAATATATTTTTTTGTATATAATCAGTTATCCGAACCACCCCAGTCCCCAATTGATTCGAATAAACAACGATCTACTGTATATATTAATACTAGACTACTTTATCTAAACTTATTTACAAAATTTTATACAAACTATAAAAAATACAAACCTGTAATTACAGCAATAACACTATCATCTTTGCCTGCATTATCTAATATATTTATGAAGTCTTCATACATCTTAATTTATAATAAAAAAAACAACAACAATAAATATAATATTAAGTATTCATATAATTAAAATGATAATACATTAACAATAAATTATGAACAATTTCATACATAATTGTTGTCTCTATAAAGATTTGAGAGTATAACTGTTTTAGTAAAGTTCAGTAGGCGTTGGCATATTCTAACTATTGTCTCTATAATTTTGATATAGAAAATAATACTAAGTAATTTCTACTAGAGGTAGACATTAGGCACCATGACTTATCTAAATTAATAATTTTAATTTAAATAATTTATTAAATAATTTAGAATCATCTGGAAGAAAAGAAGCGTAAGGTTGTATCTAAATTTAAATACATCTAGAAGTGAAGGCTTGCTTGGGGTCTGGGTGGTGCAACTGGCAAGTGCACTGCATGGCAAGCAGAGGTTGTGGGTTCAAGCCCCGCCCTGGACCAGTTCTTTTCTTCCAGATGATTAGAAATTATTTAAATTATAATTGTTAATTTAGTCAAGAGATGGCACCTAATGTCTACCTCTAGTAGCAAATTACTTACTATTAATTATTAAAAATATCAGATTCATAGTCCAAGTATTTAAGGCAATCATTTGGCTATGCATTGATTTAATAAACAATTAATTAATTAAATACTTACAATCAAATTTAATTATAGTTTTGAAAATGGACTGTGGTACTTTATAAATTTTAAATTATTTCAAGAAATTTTTAAGATAGAATAAATAATTATTAAGACTAAGGTATTAATGCAAACAATTATATTAAGTACTTGTTATAAAAATTAAGTAACTAATAAAATTCCAACCTGAATTGTAAGTGCATTTTTTTTCTTAGGTCGATTCAATATAATTTTTGTTACATTGTCTTCTTTAATAACATTAATATCATTCATTTCACTGTTGTTTGCTGCAGTTGTATCTGTCATTTTTGTTGGCTGTTCTGTATTCGATAATTCATTTATTAAATCTGCATATTGCTGTTTTGCATCATCCTAAACAACAGATATTTATTAAAATTCAAGAAATTACTGTATATAATATTAAAGTAATAAAGATTTACATATAAATAACAATGCATTATTATGACAAAGTAAATACAGTTGTTATTAAAATGCACTATTAATATAAGACAGGGGTGTCAAACTGGAGGCCTCTGATGTTATTTTTCATGGCCCATGGCCATGATGATCTGCAATAAAATGAAATACATAGCAATACATTACGAAGAAAATAGCAAGTAACCATTGCGTCATTGCTATGATGTCATACGTCATCATATGCTATGATGCACTGGTCAACCATGGGAAACTAGGCCGTGGTTGTGCACCTCACCAGTAACTTCAAGCCAATTTCAATCTAGAGATGCCAAGCTTCAAAACTTGCTAAAAAGTCTTCTTTTTGCTTGCAGAGCCATTGCGTACAGTACACTTTCTGCTTTTAACCAATTGTGTAATTGCCACTTTATTGTCAAATTATTTTTCTATTTATTATTGTTTTACAATCGCACCATCACCTTGTACACAGGTATTATATACCCTATATTCTGTATATTTTGTATTCTGTTTCTCTCTTATTCTCATCAATAAAGTGATGCTGGCGCTCATGATCCTACCCCTTCACCACCTATCCTCTCTCTCTTCCCATTTCACCCTCAAGCGATACCATTGGATAGTCTTGAGCTTTCATCCCCTTTCCAGTAACGACGTAGTGATGCTTGCAGAGCTATATATGGTGGGTAGGCATAGCTGCCACAGTCGAGGTGCATAATCATATTTTCTTTAAATTTTAACAAATGGCATTTGCACTAGTTTCTTTGCCCTGATCAGTGTGTTAAAGATTTGTGGGTTGTTTTCTTTTATAACTTGTTTAAAAAAAATGTAAGTATATGTAGTTACAGTTATTTGAAGTTTTAAAATTTAAATTTAAACCCTAATTTTTATACAGAAAATGCTATTTTCAATGCTAAATAGAAAACAAAGGGTTGATGATGAGGGAAGAAAATTTCAAGGAGTCGAACTGTTTAAAATATTAAAAATTTATTATTCAAATCATTTTGATACAAAAGCTGCTGTTGTTGGAAGATTAAATTAAACTTTATGAAATAAAATACAGTAGAGCGTCGTTTATCCAAATCAATTGGGGACTGGGGTTGTTCGGATAACTTATTTTTCGGATAACGAATTATGTACGAAAAAATATATTAATTTATCCCGTGTTGAAATTTTTCTCCATTGCGTGTCGCTTCGTGTTGAATTTTCGTTGATGTTAAGCCTAACGAAGACTATTGTATCGTTAAAAATTATTTTTTTATTTTGTACAAACAAAATAAATATATTGAAAAATATAAAAACAATAAAAAATTATACTTCAGAAGTTAATTTAGTATCAAAAATGTAAAATATTTGAGTAGCTGAAGACATAGCCAAAGATTACAGCGCCACAGCACTGGCAAAAATTTAAATTTGTCAACCGGAATTCCTTAGGATAACTGACCTTCGGATAAATGACGCTCTACTGTATACAGATTATTTACTTATCATAACTCTTATAAATATATTGATAAATTATCTGATATTGTAAAAAGCTACAATAATACTTTTCATAGAAGTATTGGCATGGCTCCTTCCCAAGTTATGCCCCTGCATCACAGTGCAATTTTTGAAAGGCTATATGGTATAAAAGGAAAAAAATTTTAATATTGGTGAACTTGTATGAATTTTGAAAATACATAAAACATTTAGTCAAGGATATCTACCACGTTGGACAAAGGAAATATTTATTATTCATAATTGTTTTTCATCACATCCTCCAATATGTGTTAAAAGATATAAATAATAAAATTGCGGAAAGAAAATTTTATACTGAAGAACTACAGAAAGTAACTACAGAAGGTAACAAAATGATGCAGTCAGTTTTTTCTTTGTAACTTTGATAAGCAATGTGAGCATGGATTTATTTCCAGAGAATACTCAGTCTCATTTCATTATAAAAATGAGTCCACCTATTAATTTATACAGACAACGAGCAGTTGGACCGAGCAAAGTTATTATTCCTAGAAATTGGTTCAACATATTGAGTCATAATCGGGCTGCAATTTGAAAAAAAAAATTGTAGACCCATAAATTCCCACCGTCATCCATCCTTCTGTCTTTCCTTAATCTTGAGAACGGAGTTAGATAGATAAAAGTTGAGACTGGATATGGAAAGTTTAGGGGCAGGGCCTCCCAATTAACTACATATGAATTTCCAATGCAAACCAGAAGTCAATGTTATTTTCAATTCAAAAATTTTCCCCCAAAAGAAGTTAGATAGATAGTAAGTTTTTGTTTTATCAGTTTTTGTAAGTTGCATTGCACCACATTACTTCTCGTTGCCTGTAGACAGCTACACTTAGTCAAGCACATCATCAGCAAAAATAGTCAACAAGGCAGCCAAAAAAGAAAATCCTCCGACTTTCCACAACTTTATCTGAATGCTAATAAAAATTCCCGATTTTCCCAAATTTTCATGTGCATGGGAATCCCGCAACTAAAATTCCTCTGTATAAAATTAGAATGACTGAAAATCAGTTAATGGAAATAGTCAAATTTTAAAATAATACCCATGTTACATTAACAAGAGTAAAAGGTAGTTTATCCACAAAATAAGCATAATATAAATGTAAAAGAATTTAAGTATTATAAAAGAAAGCTTTTGAGGTAATGGATGAACATTTGGATGACCACGAGTTTAAAAAAATAATTATAAATTAAATATGTAAAATGTTTTCATTTTTTTTACAAAAAACATCCTTTAGAAGTTATATTAGATGTCACCAAAATTTCAAATTATAATGATCCTTTTATGTCACTTGAAAATATTAGAAAAAATTTTAATATATAAAGAATGAATCACACCTTTTGATTTCCAGCCGTATTTTAATATAATAAAAACGTTTTCAACCTATTCACAGATTAACCGTAAACTCAATGGTAGTCGGTCTTAGGCAGGGTAAACAACTTTCCAGGAGAAAATATCGTATCTACCCCTTGAAATTATCGATCCGTAACACTTACGCCTTCTATCCGTAGAAATATTAACTAGATTCCTCGAAGCTAACAGTTCATTTGCTACCCCTTACAAAAAAAAATTTTTTTTAGACTCCATTTTACAATGAAGTTTTCACAACTCCCCTTTATAGGGTGCGAAACAAACCTCTTCGAATGGCATAATCTAAAATTTACGTTTTTTTTTTTTAATGAAATTTTAGTATATCAAACTTTAAAAAATAACATTAAGAAATAATTTTTAACGAAAGGAATGTCTTATATAACACATCCTTTTGTTAAAATTCGTTAAAAGTTATCACTTCTTGTATGGGGGGGGACGTCGCGTACTCTGTTTTGTCGACACGTAAACTATTATCTTAATTTAAAAAACTTAATCTTCAATTAAAACAAATAATTTTCTTATAAAATGTGAAAATCGTTTTTTAAGAATAGGAAATCGTGACGAGATTTTCTCTATTCCGATTCCAATACCCGAAAATGTCCGCTTAATCGTCTTATCACTAGTTTCAAGGGATTTCATCCCGAAATTCTGAATTTGATTGGTCCCAATTTCTTTCTCTACCCCCAGTCATTTTCCTGTTTCCAGATGAAATTAGACAATCAGATCGGATAGCTTTCCGTTAATCAATTTGACACCTTCCTTCGACTTCGTTCGCAAGTGATCGAACTTTGAAACTTTTGCGCGATGATATTTTCTTTTCTGACATCTAACAATTTTTTAATGTTTTATTACTTACAATGCGATAGTTTTTCTTCTAAAGGAATGTCACATTTTCTCGTTTATTTCTAAATTTTGTCACGTCTACGAGCGTCGGAGTTGAAGCTCGATCTTTCCGATTGACATTCTACTGTAAACATTCCAACCCGTGACCTCACGAAATCGACCGTACTGTTTTTTCATACCTTCGCGACAGATTTATTTCACACGTTTTTATAACAAAATATTTTCGTAAATTAATCGAATTTTCGTACATTTAATGAGAGATTTGTAATCTGTCTGAGACCTCACACGTAAAACTCATCGGATCCATTCTTTATCAAACTCTCAGGTCGAGCTCAGATCTCTAGTTTAATTAATTAAAGAGAATATATGCATTACACAAGTGTTACAGATATAGAAAAAAAATGAAATTACATCGTTAAACTTGCCGTACAGCATGGTTATCCACTGACAACAATACTCAATCTAATTTCGGCATATAATCGGACAAAAAGTAAATCTTCGCAACAGAATAATTCAAGGATGTGCGTGGTAAATTACTTTTCCACACTCGAAAAAATCCAAATGGAGGTCGCAAGGAAAAACAGCGTAAGAGTAACGTATAAAAGAAATCGTACCATTTTTAATATACTCAAAAATGATAAATCGACAGGTAACAGCTCCACCGACCGGGAGTATACTCCATCCCTCTAGAAGATTTTTATTTTCCTTTTAAATTTTAGAACAATTTCCTTTTAGATTTTAACGCAATACAGCTTGATCTTTGTTCGATTCTATTTTAAAAACATTATTTTATGTATTCTATTCGTTAGTTCTAACTGAAGAACACCGATGAATAAGTTTAAAATGTTTTTATTAACTTAAAATACTGCTGGAAATCAAACGATGTGTTTCATTAAATAATCGTTTTGCATTCCAGTAAAATTTGTTAATATTTTGACTGAAAACGTTGAATATAAAGACTTTTACTTTTCTATAAATAGTTGTGCCTTATGTTGAACATATTTTGTCTCCTTACATGATAGATGAAAAACTAACAAATGCTTTTGAAACAATTTTAGATCAAATTAACCAATTTATAAGATATGGCTCTAGGTAGATAATTTATATTACATACAGTCAATTCCGTTTAATTGGGACTAATTCATTTTGGCCCAATTAAACGAACTAATGATAATTTCTAAAATATGTAATACGTAAGTAAATAAATAAGTAGGTAAAA